TCATGTATTTTAGTGTATCCGAAACGTTTTGAGAGTCCTCGGAAATGACAACTGTAACCTCATGTATTTCAGTGTATCCGAAACGTTTTGAGAGTCCTCGGAAATGACAACTGTAACCTCATGTATTTCAGTGTATCCGAAACGTTTTGAGAGTCCTCGGAAATGACAACTGTAACCTCATGTATTTCAGTGTATCTTTTTTTTTAATGACGCTAGTCTCCCAGATCGAAAATTGGCAATTGGGGCTGATACAATGGTCATCGAAACACACACCCCTCCGCTCCAACACACACACACACACACACACACACTCTTATTTTGAAAAAAAAAAAGAAAAGAATACACGTTGTTCACGTATAGACGTACTATCTTTAATAAAATAAAGTATAAAGTATTTAACAGTTTAAATAAACAAGTATAAAGTGATTAAAAAACTAGAGCAGGAAGTACTAAGGCAAGACGTCCTAAGGCAAGACGTCCTAAGGCAAGACGTACTAGAGCAGGAGGTACTAAGGCAGGACGTCCTAAGGCAAGACGTACTAGAGCAGGAAGAACTAAGGCAAGACGTCATAAGGCAAGACGTACTAGAGCAGGAAGTACTAAGGCAAGACGTACTAAAGCATTAAGTACTAAGGAAAGAATTACTAAGGCATGAAGTACTTAAGCATGCAGTACTAAAGGACGAAGTACTAAAGCTTAAAGTGCTAAGAAAAGAAGTACTGAAACATGAAGTACTAAAGCACGAAGCACTAAAGCATGCAACTAAAGCATGAAGTACTAAAGCATGAAGTACTAAAGCATGAAGCACTAAAGCATGTAACTAAAGCATGAAGTACTAAATAATGAAGTACTAAAGCATGAAGTACTAAAACATGAAGTTCTAAAGCATGAAGTACTAATTGCTAAAGCATGAAGTATTAAAGCCTTCAGTACTCAACGACAACATCATGTCACTGTACTTTTCATAAGGGTCCCCGTTACTTTTGGCGCTTTTGATACCAGTGCGAGTCATCTGACGCAAATGAGCCCGGGCCCCGTTATTCGTGTTTGGCTTCTATCAAATCAAAATTGTCAGCCTCACACTCGGTGACTCCGAGAACTTCATTTCAACGAGACGCCGGAACGAGTGCGCACATAGGTCGGGACATGTCCCTTTGTGACCGGATATTGATAGGTTCACCATCAGCTTGCTGTTCCGGACAGTTTGGACTTGGCTGGTTTATGCCGGCATATTATTGCTTTTCATTCCCGGGGTGAGTTAACTCGCTGTGTCTTTATGTTGCCAGATTGGAGACTTTCATTCCCGGGGTCACGTCTTGGGTTGTTCTTATATTCCGTCTAGTTGACTTTAAACTCGGAACCAGAGTTTTGCAGAGTTTTGTGTGTGTTTTTTTTTTTCATTTCTGTCACACTTTTATTGCTGCCCACAGATACTACTTACCAGCTAAGGGCTATTTCTTATTTTTATTTTTATACCGTTTGTTCAGTTGTTTTGTTCGCTGACGAAGGCTTTCTGCCGACACGTTCGCTGTTTTGTTGCGTTTATTTTTTCAGGTTTAACCCTACTCTGTTTTACTCATTTTATTTTCACTGTCAACAGGAACCTTAACAGTTTCCCTTCCAAATCTGTTTAGTGCAGATTCGAGAATCGTTTCTACAAAAAGGAAAAGGTGAAAGAATGTGCTAACACCTAAGAAAAACACCCGAAACACCAAGAAACACTTTTGAAACACCGAGTAACACATCTGAAACACCGAGTAACACATCTGAAAAAACGAGTAACATCTGAAAAACCGAGTAAAACATCTGAAACACGGAGTAACACATCTGAAACACCGAGTAACACACCTGAAACACCGAGTAACACATCTGAAACACCGAGTAACACACCTGAAACACCGAGTAACACATCTGAAACACCGAGTAACACATCTGAAACACCGAGTAACACATCTGAAACACCGAGAAACACATCTGAAACACCGAGTAACACATCTGAAACACCGAGTAACACATCTGAAACACCGAGTAACACATCTGAAACATGCTAGAAGGAAATAGTTCTAAACAAATTTTGATTTTACTTCACTTACTCCAGCCAACAAGTCGACACTTACAGAAGTCGACAATGTAAAAAAAAAGAAAAAAAAAAGTCATTTTATAGAATAGACATACTTTTAAATTTATCTTTATACCGGTACTTCGTTTCTAGATATTTTCAACCCTGTAATTTGCTTTTAAGTGTATAACACAATTAAGTCTACAGTTGCCATTAAATTGGAGAAAAACGATTTAAAAAAAAAAAAAAATCATTATGAATTGATAAGGTAAATCAATGACGAAACAATTAAAAGCTTCTTCAAATCAAGAAACAATAGACTCAATGTCCAATTAATTCTCGTTTAGTAAGCACAGAACAGCAAAGGAAACGCTGATGCGCCTAGAAGTCATCCCGCTAGCACCACGCCCCTGGGGAGTACGCCATTGTTTCAGACTCTGCTGATTTGAAGTAGATTACGTGTTCCCCGGGACATGTTCCCCGGTACGTGTTCCCTGGGACATCCCTGATCAAAGCGTACAGACTACAGAACTTGCGGCAGGGGGAAAAAAAACAGCGATCAGAACTCACTATACACGGGTCTGCAATCACAAATCTAGCAATGAATGGCGGGAAATCCCGATGGACAGGTCCCGCGGGCGAAGAATGAGAGATTATAATTAGATAGCAGCTTTATAGAATTGGGGATCTGTACTCATTTAAGCAATAATTTAACTTTAAAAAAAAACAAAAAACCAACACAACAAAAGCCTCTCAGAGCTCGAGCGACGATGCCGATATTCTGTAGCGGTTCAAAGATTCTCATGGGAGTGAATTCTCTACGCTATAATATTGAGTTTCCCAGCACAGAATAATAACAGAAAGTTTAAAACCTCAGATCCGTAGCCTTCTGGGAAAGAATCATCACACGGCCGTAATGAAACAAACAAAAAAATAAATTTTAAAAAAAAGAAGGTAATTTTAGTGGCGTAACTGCTGCCAGGCCCCCCCAAAAATATATTTAAACAAATATCACTAGCATATTCAACTAACTTAAATTAAGTTGTGGAAAAATAAAAATAAAAATAACGGATATTTCAATCACCATTGTATCATGTTTTATGAAAAGTTTCTATTTCCGTTCCCGGGAGAGGCAACATTTTTTTCACCCCAGGTAGACAACTTTTTTGGGTTATATTTAGATAGACTTATTTTTATTTTGAAACCATATGTTACAAATCATACATCACAAACTAAGTCGCTTGTAAATTATGCTTAAAACGCTATAAAGAAATTTTTATACCACGCGGGCAAAGTATCAGAAATATGACTGTATATTATTATAGAGCGATATTATTTTAATGAGTAACGGGAAGTAACTAGTAAAATATAATTATGCTGTAATGAAATCTTATTACTTCCCTTACATTTCCCTTATCGTTTATCTCTAAATCAATGTCACACTTCAGTCAAGTCGATCAACGGAACAAATCTCAAAAAGAAATTGTGTGACCAGTCACAGTAACCGTAACTCTTTCATTTAGGTCGGGGTTATCTCTATTAAAACAAGGGGAGCAAATTTAAGTCAAACTCTATTTGACTCAGCGTGAGCATCACTTTAATGTCTTACCACATAGCCGCGAACTCTTTGTCCTTCCTACCTAGCTTACATTTTAGTGTGCGGTCATTGACACCGATCTGTTTCGTCCGTCAGACGTACCTCTGGGTCAGCCAGCTACGTTTAGAGGGGGATCTGCTGCATGGGAAACTATTCATCCGCCATACAAATGCATCACCCTGGCTCTGCAAGTGCTTTAGAAAGATTTCCACCAGGCTTACAACACTAAATCCCATGGAGACGAAAATAGGCCCCTACGGGGAGATGGTGATGGGGGATGGTGATGGGGGATGGTGATGGGGTAGATGTTTTAGGATGCTAGAGGCTTAGGGGTGATGATGATAGGTGATGGCTGACGGGTGGTGGGTGATGGTTTTGATGGGAGATGGTTGATGCCTGATGGCTGATGGGGGATTGTTGATGGGTGATTGGGGGGGGGCAATTTTAGAATGCTGGTGGCTGATGGGTGATGGTTGATCGGTTATGATTAGTGGGTGATGGTTGATGAGTCTTATGCAGATTGAGGGGGGGGGGGGGGGGGAGGGGGGGGGGGGGGGGGGGGGGGGGGGGGGGGGGGATATTATGAGTTATGCTTATGGTGGATGCCGTTCAGGACACAAGTTTAAATAAGGAGAAAAAAATCAACAAGTCCCATTTAATTGTTAGTGAAAAGAAAGGTAAAGTTATTTTGGATGGACACAAATTTGCCCTACGCCATTACATACGTGTTGATGAACTCTTCTAAGATGGCAAAGACGAATGAAATCACTACACTGATTTTCCAATATAAGAAGGCCCATGAAAGGATTATTAATATGAGAACGCTCATAAAAATGACCATTTATATGAGAATGCTTATAAAGAGACTATCAATATGTGAACGCTCATAAAATGACTATCAGTTATAAGTTTGTTTTAGCGTTCATATCGCCATCTCAATCATGAGCTCACGTCCTTGACCACTGAAGGTTTTTTTTTCCAAGAAAACACACAACATTGTAACGCCATTAAATGAAATCGCACACTCTTATCAATATCTGCACACCCCGATGGTATTTTCTTAAATCATAAATTCAGTTCACTTAAATTGAATCATGTTGCAAACATTTAGTGGCCAAACTTTTTGTCTTCTCTTTCTCAACACAACTTTCTTATATGTCCACCAAATGTTCAGGCTATTAAAATCTTAATGCATGTCTTAGTTGGATGAAAGTGGATCACTTGTCATGATGAAGAAAAAGGCATTAAGGCATTTAGGCATTAAGCGTTTGATTTGCCTTAGCCTCAAAACCAATCTCACTTGTCCCTATTCTTTTTAAAGCGCAGCAGACACCCGAGACTGCAGAAGAGATCATCAAACACGGCCTTGAACTTTGAGCTCATGTTGTAGTAGACGAAGATGTTCACGGAGCTGTTGATGGACTCCAGGGTGAAGATGGTCGACCAGATGACGAGGAAGAGGTTCTGCTGCCTCCCCATGATCGTGTAATCGGGGGCCAGGACGATGCCGAGAAGAAAGTTCACACAGCTCGGCATGAGGCAGGCGATGAAGATCACGGAGATGAGCGTCACCATTTTCACCACCTTACGGTCACGCGTCGCTAGCCCCTCTTTCGCGCCGGAGCCGGAAATCTGCGCAGACTCGTTCCGCCATTTCGATTTGACGTTAAGCTGCTGAATGATGATGGCGGTGCAGATGAAGTCGATGATGAAAGAACCGAACTGAAACGATATGTTGAACATCAGACCCAAGTTTTCTATGAACAGTCCGTTCTCGCGGTAGATTCGGACAACCTGGGTCCTGTTCAACGCCGGGACGAACACGGGTCCGATGCGGTTGGCCATGATCAGCGGCGACATCCCCAGGAATGTTAGGACGAAGATGACGACGATGATGTAGACGGTGCGTCTCGGGGTGATGATCTGCTTGACCTTGAGCGGCATGGCGATGCAAAGACACCTCTCGAAGGTGATGAATGTCGTGATCCACCAGGCGATCCTCACAAAAATCCCGTGGGGGACCGCTGAAATGCAGAATATTTTGAACATGAAGGCGACGGAATCTAACATCATTTGAAGATACAGTTGGGGGGGGGGACGCGTTGAGTACCTTTTCCATTTCAAAACAAGAGACTGAGCACATGCAAAATGAATCCTAAGAAATTATTCCCATCCGGAGTTTCCCTATCTACTCTCTACCACAAATGTCATTTTGCCACGAAATTTTAGGAACTTGAGACTCTATTTATGGTGATATTGACTAAAAGGTAATGGAAAAGTTGTGTTAAACCATCTCCAGCCCCACGCGTCTCCTCCCACGCCATGGGCCGAACCATCTCCAGCCCCACGCGTCTCCTCCCACGCCATGGGCCGAACCATCTCCAGTCCCACGCGTCTCCTCCCACGCCATGGCCAAACCATCTCCAGTCCCACGCGTCTCCTCCCACGCCATGGCCGAACCATCTCCAGTCCCACGCGTCTCCTACCACGCCACGGCCAAACAAACCCCAAAGCTAAAGCACCGCTCTCCCTGCCGCATTGCCACGTTCTTACCCCCCAAAATCTGAAAGAAGTAGACGGGTTTCTTTTATGTCACGATTGATTTATCAAAACATGAACATCTAGAAGTAGTGGCGACGCCATCAGAAATTTAACATGGCGGGTCCCTTGCAGGTCTTAAAAAAAATTGGCGGGTCCCAAATAAATGTATTACAAATAAAAAATTAAACATAAAAAGGCATTTAAAATGGAAGTTCTCCTACATGTAATGTAGTTGACGCTTAATGAGCATATATACAATATTAGTAACTAATAAAAATTTACCAGGTCATTTGCCAGGTCCCAAGTTTATTTACCAGGTCCTGGGACCCGGCGGGACCTGGTGTAGCGTCGCCACTGTCTATAAGGTTTTCTTAATCGCACAATACATTTTAAATATATCTGAAATGCCCAGTCTGTTTGTTTATATAAATAGCGTACTCTATTTTTTTGTGTGGAAATCTAAACAGAATATTCTATTCATTTATCTGAGCCCCAAACTATAAATGCACGCTATGTTTTATTCCCCTGAGAAATGCTGACTTTTTGTTAAGGTCATAAAGTATAGAGTTCAGGTTTTTAAGAGTTTAAAAAAAAAATTTCCATTTTGTAACTAAAGCATCGGTTAAAGGTGTGTAATAATAATAATGATAAGTGTTCTACCTGACGTCAGGTAGTGAATGTCGACAGTTGAAAATGCACTTCCGCTGTCAAAGAAAAGTGGGTTAAGGCACACACTCTCCCAGACGATCGCCACGAGACTTCCCAGGTCGGACACGGCCAGGCCAAACAAGCTGATGTTGACCGAGTCTTTGAAACCCTGGTAGGTAAATGTCAGGTTGGCTGAATAAATTCACGGATCGGTGAATAAATGAATGCCTTGTTGAATAGGTTAACGTGAGGCGTTTAATGGTGAGTTGAACAGGTTTTAGATTAATGCAATGGTGTGTTGAATATGTTTTAGATTAATGCAATGTTGTGTTGAATATGTGTTATATAAATGTAATGGCTGGTTAAGTATGTTTTAGATCAGTGGTTCTCAACCTTTCTAAAGCCGCATCCCTTTAATCATGTTCCTCATGTTGTGGTGCCCCCAAACATACAATTATTTTCGTTGCGACTTCATAATTTGTTTTCCAATGGTCTTATGTGACCCATGTGTAAAGGACGCTCGATCCCCAAAAGGGTCGCGACCCACAGGTTGAGAACCGACGTTTTCGATCAATGTAATGGTTGGTTAAATATGTTATTTGGTTATTTAACGCCACTCGGGGTGTGCTCCAAAACTGCGCCCCCGTACAAATTATATAATATTAGTAAGAGACGGTAAAAAATGAACTTTTAAGACCCCCAACCCCACCCCCTTTCGCCCCCACTAGGTACGCCACTGATTGAACACATTTATTGGTGCAATATATATCTGCTTATCTAACCCATTGACTATATTACTACATCGCTTAGTTATCTGGTTAGATATCGGCATACGGCTATCTGGTAAAATTGTAATATGTAAGGACATTGGTCCAATATAGCATCTGTGTGTTTCTCTCAGGCATCTCTCCAGTAGGATTGGGGGGGGGGGGGGGCCGCCACCCCCCTCCCTGCCCCCCCCCCCAAGAACAACGCGTACAATAAAGTCAAACTATATGTTGTTATAAAATAAACAAACACCATACGATTTTCATTTTATAAGATTTAAAACAACAAGAAAACACGAAAAGTCCAGTAACTTACAACTTTGTTACCTAGTAGAATGGTGCCATTCACCGATTACAATTTTTGGAATCTATGAAAAATCTCTGCGCTTGATATATCAGCATGAACAAGATGAGCCTTAAATATTCGGATCATCGGTTTATTGCTTACGGTACTCGATTATAAATATCGTAAAGAGAACACGAGATCACCTGATTTACAAAGACACTGATGTTATTGATGTTGACCAGACAGCACAGACTCACCTGCTTACCGAAGACAATGATGTTGTTGATGTTGGCCAGACAGCTTAGACTCACCTGCTTAATGAAGACAATGATGTTATTGATGTTGGCCAGACAGCACAGACTCATCTGCTTAGCGAAGACAATGATGTTATTGATGTTGGCCAGACAGCACAGACTCACCTGCTTAGCGAAGACACTGATGTTGTTGATGTTGGCCAGACAGCTTAGACTCACCTGCTTAAAGAAGACAATGATGTTGTTGATGTTGGCCAGACAGCTTAGACTCACCTGCTTAATGAAGACAATGATGTTGATTAAGGTGGCCAGACAGCACACACTCACCTGCTTAACAAATACAATGATGTTGATGACGTTGGCCAGACAGCCGAGACAGCCGATGACTCCGTTGACCGCGACATAGAAGACGATCTCCAACTTCTGCCTCAATTCGTCGCTGACCAGCTTGTGGTATGCCGGCTCTGCTTCAACTGCTGGCTGGTACGTGCTCATATCCGTGACTGAGATGTAGTCAGTTGAAAAGGTTGTCGTGGCGTCGGTCGTCATGGCAACAGTCGTCATGGCACGTCGTATGGCCGTCAGAAATATTCTGCCTCGATTGTGTTGCATAGAGCACGTGCTATGGCTTTTATAACCAGATTTTCTTGCCTGACAGGTCACGCTGCACTTCAAAAACAAAAATTATTTCAGTGTCAATCGACTGGTTAATCCTGTCAAAAGAAGCCAATAATCTGAACAAATTCCGGCACGTTGGAGCTCTGGTCGGATAACAGTACTCCCAACCTTGCCATGACCTTTGTGGAAGATAGATCTCCCTTAGAATATTGACAATAGGCTTTGTGTCAAGATGTCTTGATGTCAATGTTCCTTCACTTAAACCTTTATGAGGGGCTCCATCAACGTCTTGCATTCGCAGATTAAAAAAAAAAATTCCCAGTTCAATCCTATCAAACGATCAATTTGTTTACATTCCAAGCCATCACATCAAGTTTTAATTCAGGGGAAACAACACACACACAAAATCTCCCCGGTTGTCATTTCCCCTGACGCACACAAAAGTTGAATAAAGTCTGAAGCTTCACTAATTGTTGGCTTTATTTTCAAGGCTAGTCTCTTGATTAGCGCCGTCACGGCTGCGTGCAATGACTGATTGGAGAATGAATTCAGTGATGCATAGCGCCGTCACGGCTGCGTGCAATGACTGATTGGAGATTGAGTTCAGTGATGCATAGCGCCGGACTAGGAAGACGGTGTAATTTAGATTAATGTTATGGAAAATATCGATCGCCGGTCGGCAGCGGCGTAGCTAGGGTATGACCCACACCCAGGGGGCGGGCCGATCTCTTTGCCACCCTCTTCCACGAAAACACTCTGCAGTTGGCCGAAGATGCCGACCCTCCATATACATCTATAAATATATAAATGCCGCCAGGGTGGACCATACCCCCCGAACCCACCCTTCCTACGCCACTGCCGGTGGGCAAATTAACATCATTACACCGATGCGTGAAGCAATGTTGACTTTTCACGCCAATATGCCCTGCCGTCAATACTAAGGGAAGTAAGCCTAGCTAGTTGAAGGGAGGTAATTTAAAAAAAAGAAAAATTAACAATTTCATGATGGTTTGACCAGTAACCGTTTATGAAATTGATACCGTACATTTAAACTATCATTGATTTGGGTTATTACATAAAAGTTTTAATGATAACAAAAACAACAACAACAACAACCCAACTCAGTTATGTTATGGTCGTTACCAGGTTATATAGCGATAACGATTTGTGAGCTAAAGAGTTGTTACGTTCGACTTAAGAGACACACGACTGTGATCCCAATCAAACATCAACTTGATTTAAACAAAACAGAACTTTGAACAAATTCTCAATAAACTTGAGCTGAGAAGAAAGTTTGGAAGAATCATAAATAAATTTGTTAAAAAAAAAAACAACTGGAACATAAATATCATCATTAAAATTTATTTATAAAAAAAAGAAGAAGAATATTTTGAACGAATTATCTTTGTGCCATTGTTGCTGACATGTGTCAGTCAGAGTTATTTCCCTGGAGTTTTTGAACAATTGGCTTGGGGGAAAATGTTTGACGGCCAGTTAAGATGAAAGCCGATACTGTGACTGACATATGCGTGGGCAGTGAATTAGACACTTGAGTGTCACCACTGACAAGGACGCTGACACAAATGATCTACAAGTTTACACTTGGATTCCTTTGGTTTAAATGCAGTGAAGGTCTCGCATGGCTTAACTTTAACCTTAAAGAATCGGTAGAGGTGGTAAGCTAATTGACCAGACACACTCAAGTTCTTGTACTGCCTGGGCATTTTTGTGTCGCCGCAATTATCGCTTGTAATTTAGACAAAAGCAAACGGAAGTACACAGTCTTCAGAGTCATGTTTAAAGAGACATTTTACAATGAAGTCAGTAACGTGACGGGAAGCAGTCCGACGAGACATTGTGACAACGAAGTCAGTAACGTGACGGGAAGCAGTCCATCGAGACATTGTGACAATGAAGTCAGTAACGTGAAGCAGTCCACCGAGACATTGTGACAATGAAGTCAATAACGCGACGGGAAGCAGCCCACATAGACATTGTGACAATAAAGTCAATAACGTGACGGGAAGCAGTCCACCGAGACATTGTGACAATAAAGTCAATAACGTGACGGGAAGCAGCCCACCGAGACATTGTGACAATAAAGTCAATAACGTGACGGGAAGCAGCCCACCGAGACATTGTGACAATAAAGTCAATAACGCGACGGGAAGCAGCCCACATAGACATTGTGACAATAAAGTCAATAACGTGACGGGAAGCAGTCCACCGAGACATTGTGACAATAAAGTCAATAACGCGACGGGAAGCAGCCCACCGAGACATTGTGACAATAAAGTCAATAACGTGACGGGAAGCAGCCCACCGAGACATTGTGACAATGAAGTCAATAACGTGACGGGAAGCAGCCCGCCGAGACATTGTGACAATAAAGTCAATAACGTGACGGGAAGCAGCCCACCGAGACATTGTGACAATGAAGTCAATAACGTGACGGGAAGCAGCCCACCGAGACATTGTGACAATGAAGTCAATAACGTGACGGGAAGCAGCCCACCGAGACATTGTGACAATAAAGTCAATAACGTGACGGGAAGCAGCCCACCGAGACATTGTGACAATAAAGTCAATAACGTGACGGGAAGCAGCCCACCAAGTCAATAACGTGACGGGAAGCAGCCCACCGAGACATTGTGACAATAAAGTCAATAACGTGACGGGAAGCAGCCCACCGAGACATTGTGACAATAAAGTCAATAACGTGACGGGAAGCAGCCCACCGAGACATTGTGACAATAAAGTCAATAACGTGACGGGAAGCAGCCCGCCGAGACATTGTGACAATAAAGTCAATAACGTGACGGGAAGCAGCCCACCGAGACATTGTGACAATGAGTTTTAGGGATCAATTCTCAACTCTACCACAGTAAACATATGGCACTTGAGATTTCGAATGTTTGGGTCGGTATAAGATGATGTAGGCTGCGAACTTAACTTATTCAAGATTGGATTATGTACCTGTAAATGAATGGCTGACAGTATAAAAGACATGAAATGATTGGTTGACAGGATGAAAGACATGAAATGATTGGTTGACAGGATGAAAGACATGAAATGATTGGTTGACAGGATGTAAGACATGAGATGATTGGTTGAAAAAATGAAAGACATGAAATGATTGGTTAACAGGATGAAAGACATGAAATGATTGGTTGAAAAAAATTAAAGACATGAAATGATTGGTTGAAAAAATGAAAGACATGAAACGATTGGTTGAAAAAATGAAAGACATGAAATGATTGGTTGACAGGATGAAAGACATGAAATGATTGGTTGAAAAAATGAAAGACATGAAATGATTGGTTGACAGGATGAAAGGCATGATACCACGGAGGAAGCTTTGCTGAGAAAATACTGAAGAAACGACGTCTTAAAAAAGTTGTATTGAAATAAAAGACCATCATTTTGGACACATATTGCAATAGAGGACCGCCATTTTGGACACATTGCAATAAATAACCCTCATTTTGGACACATATTGCAATAAATGGCCATCATTTTTTTACACATATTGCAATAAATGACCATCATTTTAGACACATTTGCAATAAACGACCATTCCTTTTGACACATGGATCTGGGTGGCCGAGAGGTCTAAACTGGCTCAAACCAAATAGCAGTCGGTATGGAGCTCAAACCTCCCCAAAGCCAACATCCCAAGCACGCCCGGGTGGATAGGACTCGTTAGCCTTGGACTCATCTAAGAAAAGGCAAACTCTGAATTCAAACCAGGAGCCAAAATGATCAATAAATTGATCGTGGGCCCTCAAATATGCACACAAAGATATCTAATCAAATGTACCTTGTTATTCCACAGTACTTACAATTAAATTGTAGTAATTTATTTAAAATATTTTTTTTTTCGAACAAAGAACGTTTGCCGAGCCTGCCTCAAACAATTAAGTTTTCTAAACTTACAACTTTTGAGTAGTCGTTAATTCTTAAACATTTTAACACAACGACTATTTCTTTGTGTTATTTTTACTTTCAAAATCTTCTCTTTTTTTTTGTTCATGAACATCACATTTCATAAGATTCGTAGTTTCAAGATCTGATTTCTTAAATATAAATGTAGTCATTTTTAATATTTTAAATTAAGTAATTTGAGAGCTACATTTAATCCCGCAAAAAAGAAAAAAAAAACACCTCCAGGCAAACTTTCATTAATAAGATAATTAAAATATTGCCCACGTGATCGAATTTAAGATAAACAATTAACAACCATTGTGGTACATCTAAATATGTAAATATTGTTGTTACCTGTCAGGTTCTGCTTGAGCTGTGATTTCTTTACCCCTTGATAACATTCAATTGGTGCCACCGAAAGATTATCCCGGTGCAGTCAAGAAATGTATTAATTATATTAGTGACTTCACCTTTTCAGTTCAATAAGGGCAGAGACATAACCTACAAAAGCATACTAAGGGTAGTCTCCCTTAATTAATTATTTTTTTTTTAAAGTCAGATACTTTTTTTTTTTTAAATGTAATTGTGAGCGACGCCAAATAGCTAAGTGGCAAGGTGCCATTTATGAGTAATAGGGTGTCACTCCCATTATAAAACCCCAGGCTATACAATAAAACACTATAGGGAAAATAATAAGTCAGAGGAAAAAGGTCACAGGAAACTTTTTTTATGTTATAAGTGACTGAATAGCAGTATATGAAACGAAAATTCACAGGATGAAAAGTGATTTGAAGAAAAGGACAAACTATGAAAATTAGACGCATTCACACATATTAATATACCTTGATGAGTAGCACATAAATAAATTAGTAGAT